TGATATTGTAGATTATAAATCTATTTTAAAATTATCAACATAAGGAAGTAGTAGATATTATGGATTTTTATGTTTATTAAAGTTTATCAACACAAGGAATCAGTTGATATCATGAATTATTCATCTATATTGAAGTTTATCAACTTAAGGAGTTAGTTTATGTTATTATATATATTATAAAAAGATGTCACTTTTAAGGTTACGAGACTTGGAACTAGCCACAGTATTTCAAGTCATCAAAAATAAAGGATACTGACACTAATATTGCAATTGATTTGGTCCTACGGGGAAAATTATTTTCATAAATTAATGTAGACTCTTCATTTAATTCACTCTCAAAGCGTGGATTTGGACCATTGATGAGAAACTTGGTTTTAATTGGATTTTAAGCTAGTTTGTCTGAGTTTACTATTTTGAGTCTGATGTGGGCTTACTTTTTAATTGGCTTTGGTTTGGGTTTGCAACCCAAACCCAAGGTCCAATTGCCCTTTTTTTTTCCTTATTATATTATATTATATATTTTTTGTTTTTACCATTTTCGGGAAAAAAAAGTTAAACAAAAAGATACACAGGAAGAAACAGAAATAAAAAAAAATTCATAAATAAAAGAAATTGGATCAAATTAGGTAGTTTCTAAAATTTGAAAGTCGGAAGAATCAAAAATGAATTTGAATCAGACTTATTTGAAGCGGAAATTAGAATTGAAAAGATTTTTTTTTTTTTCAAATACAAGTTTTAAATCCTTTCGGATTTGCAATCCTATCACATTCAAGACATAGCTTCTAGACAAACCCTATAACAACAAAATAATAAAACGTCAATAAAGAGAAAAAAGAAAGAATCAAAGTGGAAATTTATGGTAGAATTTTTTTAATTTCAGGTAAATTTTATAGGTGAAGATAGTTTCAAATTTGGTTCTAAATCTAGGCTTTTTTGGCTTGATTTGGAAAAATCAATTCTATAAAAGGATTCAAGAGTTCAAAAAGGCTTTGAAAAGTTTTTTGGGTGGTCGAAATGCGATGGACTATGACAAAGCAATGCGGTTGAAATATGGAAAAAGGTGTTTTCTAAAAAAAAAATTTTGAATTTTTTAGCGATTTAATTTTTTGATAAATTTGATTATTTTAGCTAATGTTTGAAATTTTCAATTATTGAAATTTCGGTTTAGAGAGAGGAAATGAACAGTAGAGAGTGAAAAAAGAAGTGAAAATAAAAGAAAATTCATATTTTAGTAATTTAAAGGAGAGTTAAGCGGTGCCTTTTGGGAGAAAAAAAAATTTATGCCTGACTTATTTTAAATTTGCGCCTCAACCTTAGCTAGGGATAGCATCGGGTCGGGTTCAGGGTCGGTTTTGCTCGCCCCGAACCCGACCCGATTTTTTGCTCATCAAACCCGATCCGACCCGAATTATTTTAATACCTGACCCCGACCCGACCCGACAATATGTAAACCGTACCCGATCCGATCCGATCCGAAATTAATAAAATATTATTTTTTAAAATATAAAATATTATTTTTTAAATATAAATATTTAAAAATATCATTATATAAATATATATATAAATAATTAATTAATTAATTAAAAAATAATTTTTTAATAATGTCGGGTCGGGTAGGGATCGGGTTTTAGGCATACCCGAACCCGACCCGACCCCGACTATTACCTAAATTTACCCGACTCGACCCCGACTCGAAACTCGAAATTCAAAAAAAAAACCTGACCCTATAGGATCGAGTCGGGCCAAAACCCGTCGGGGACGGGCTTGATTGCCGTCCTAACCATAGCTGACTCGACCCGAATGTATTAGTGTTCTTTTGTATTGTTTATTTTTTGTATTTTATTTATTAAGTTATTTATTTAAATTTTTAAAATTAGGAAGAATTTTAATTATTTGATAATACTATAAATTATAATAAAACTTATAAGTTAGCAAAAAATAAATAATTTTTAGATTTTATAAATAAAATGTAATTTTTAGAAAATTTTGGAAGCGAATGAAAATTATTTTGATGATGAAATTTAAAAAAACCATAAATAATGGATTTTTTAAAAGAATTTTCTATGTTAGAAGTTTTTTTTCTAAATTTAGCCTAAATTATGAAAAAGTTTAGATAAAATTTTAATAATAATAATAATTAGCATTTACTTTCATGCCAAAAAAATAAATATAAAATATAACTTTATAAAATTTTGAAAGTGATGATTATCGAATCATGAAATTATTAAAAATCATAAATGATTAATTTTTTTAAAAATTTTTAAGTGAAAAATTTTTTTTTTTTTTAAATTTGAACCAAATGTTGAAAAAATTTTAATAAAATTTTAATAGTAATAATTGACATTTATTTTTCAAACAATAATAAAATAAAAATAAATTGAGGAATTTATAAAATACTTTTTGGAATCAAACATTAGACCTTTTCACAAAAATAAAATTAAAATTAAATATGATGATAAAATTCTTAATAATAAAAAATGGATGATTTTTTTAAAAAGTTTTAGGTGAAAAAATATTTTATTTAAAAATGTCATTTTATATAATTAGTGACATTGTATGTATTTAAAAAAAAATAAATTATTTTATTTTTATTTAATTATTGATATTATAGTTATTTGTTGTTAAATAAATGACATTATTAATTATTTCTTTATTTGTTATAATATTTGTTATTAAAAATTTTTAGGGGATTAAGATTATTTTTAAATGAAAAATAATAAATGGCATTGTTAGAATTTTTTAGAAAAGAAAATTAATTATTTTATTTTTATTATACTTATTTAGAATTTGAGATAAAGTATTTTTATTTTTCATATAAGAAAATTTAAAATTCTTAACAAAATATTCTTTAATTTAGATATAATATTCTATTTCCATCAATAAGTGACTAGAATTGCATAAAAATTTAGCAGCATTGTAAAACAAATTATATTAAAAAGATTGAGTGATAAATATAGAGCCTCCACCTAGTAGAGTGATAAATTTAACCTTTAGTCCTTTTATACTTGATATAAATACTTTTGCGGGCATTGAATGCTATGCTTTCTCTATATTTCTCCAAATCAAGAATTAAATAGTGTTATAGAATCTTAGTCTAATGACATTTATAATTATTTTAATGAATAGACTGTATCATAATCTAGTAATTTGTAACAATTTTTTTAAGTAACGTATTATATTTCATCACGTAAAAAGTATGTAAAAAGTGATGAATAATATACTTCATCACACTTTTATATTGTTTTGATATTTTATATGACAATATATAAAATCGTTACATGGTAACATCACAAAAATCTTGTTGCTAAATTTTATCGTCAAATTTATTTGGTGAAAATTTTTTTTTGACATTTTTTATTTTAGATAATTTTATAATTTTGTCGTCAATTTAAAATTTATTTATGATAAATTTTTTTGATAGATTTAAGTGACATTATTAATTTTTGTTATAAATTGAATACTTTAATTAACTGTTAATTGTATTGTAATTTTGTCACGTTAATTTATGGTGTTATATGATAATAACATAAATGTCACAAACTTTTACTACTAAATTTATTTTGTAAAAAATTTTTTTGTAACGTTTTTTATTTGAAATAACGTCATAATTTTGTCACCAATTTTAAATTTTATCTATGATGAATTTTTTCTGATAGACTTTAGGTAATGTTATTAATTTTTGTTATAAATTAAATGCTTTAATTAACTATTAATAACATTACAATTTCGTCACGTCAATATATGGTGTTATATAACGATAACGCAAATGTTACAAACTTTTACCACCAAATTTATTTAGTGTGAAATTTTGTTGTGACATTTTTTATTTTAGATGACGTTATAATTTTATTATCAATTTAAAATTTTATCTATGACAATTTTTTTAATAGATTTTAGATGATATTATTCAGTTTTATCACAAATTAAACACTTTAGTTAATTATTAATAATATTATAATTTTCATCATGTTAATGTATGGTGTTATATAACAATAATATAAATGTCACAAACTTTTACCACCAAATTTATTTGTGATATTTTTTATTTTAGATGGCGTTATAATTTTGTCATCAATTTAAAATTTTATTTATGATAAATTTTTTTGATAGATTTTAGGTGACATTATTAATTTTTGTCATAAATTGAATATTTTAATTAACTATTAATGACATTATAATTTTGTTATGTCAATACACGATGTTATATGATAATAACATAAATGTTATAAACTTTTAAGTGATGTTATAATGTTATTTATCAATCACTGATAAATTCAAATTAATGTATAATTTATAAATAATTATTTTACTTAAATTATATATATCTATTTAAAAATAGCATTTTTAATTTTTATTAAGCATAATTTATTTAATTTTGTATTCATATATTAAAAAATTTCAATTAAAAAAATAAATTAAATATTACATATAATAAAAATTTTAAAATACACAATTTGTTTAAAATTTAAAATAAATTTTAAAATTTTGCAAATACAAGTAACATAAAAATAATTTTAAAAAAGTTAAAGGGTACGAAAAGCCCTTAAATTATAAGTAACAATCATATAAACTATTATTTTTTTTATTACAATCAATTGCTCTAATATTTATTTACATCTACTTAATTCATTATTTAGATAATATTGTTAATTTTTTTACCAATTAACTAAAATTTTATATCATATTAATAAAATAGATTAAAATTTATCATTGTGATGTAATTAATATACGTAAAAATTAAATAAAACAAACTTTTTTTATTTTTTGTTATTTTTTTTATTCTCTAAAATCATTAAGAATTCAATTGATTATAATTCAAAAATTAATTGATTTAATTTTGTTACGTGATAAAATTTTATTCAATTTAAAATTTAATTGAATTAAAATAAAAAATTAATTAATTACAATAAAATATTAAAAATTTAAATAGTTTTTTAATTATAATTAGGGAACATTTTTTACCTTTAATTATATATATATATATATTTATTTAAAGAGTTATGGGCGTAAAAGCAGAAGTACAAAATGAAGCGTTATCTTCGCCCAGGCCCATAATAGTTCAAGTACATATAAACAGTGGATTTAAACTTTGGATCGAAGGATATGGCTATACAGAGTGCAAAAGCGCCAGAGAGGGCGAAAAGGCTCTTTTCGGTGTTTACTTCAAATTTCTTCTTGCGTCTGCCTATTGCTAGGGTTCCTTTTTTTTTTTTTTTTTTTTTTTTTCTTGATGGTAATTTATTAGCCGTCGATAATTATGATTGTGATGGTGATGGATTGGCGAAAAGGCTCTTTTCGGTGTTTATTTCAAATTTCTCCTTGCGTCTGCCTATTGCTAGGGTTCCTTTTTTTTTTTTTTTTCGTGCAGCGGCTTTCAAGGGGCTGATCGTGAAGCAGCTCCAAAATGGAAAAAGTGTTGATGGTAATTTATTAGCCGTCGATAATTGTGATCGTGATGGTGATGGAGTGGCTCTTATCTTCCTGGGAATCTGCTGCTCCAGTGCCGTCCGCAATGCAATGAGCTTGATCCAGCCCTCCGATCCTCCCTGCCAAGTATGCTCCCAATCCCTTTCTATCTATCCTGATCATAACCCTAATTGCAGGTCACCTCCTTTTCCCTTATTTTTCTAAAACTTAATCGTCCATACAATCTTTTTTATATCGCAGATCTGAACTTTTCCGCCCTTTTTTTGAATAATGTGATTATTTTCGGTTTAGTTTCTTAAAACAAAATAGGTTTTTTTAGCTTTGATTTTGAATCTTTTTCTTTCAGGTGTAATACATCTTTGCTTATAGATTACTGTTCGAGCAATGGTATACATAATTATATTATAATTGATGTTGGGAAGACATTTAGGGAGCAAGTTCTTCGATGGTTTACTTTCCACAAGATTCCTCGAATCGATTCCGTGAGTTGAATTTTCTGTTTTTATTTTTCCACATTTATTCCTCATTATTCTTTTTTTTCTTTTTTGTTTATTTTTGTAGTATCGTATTAGAACAGTTAGCATTTATATTTGGTTTTATCTATTCTATTGTTTTATAGGATTTATAGCGAATTTGTTGATTTATATAATGGCTTTATGCATTTTATTAACTATAATTTCGTCTTTCTGTATACAAGTGGGATTCCAAACTAGTACTAATTTCTGTATGAACTGTAGATTATTTTTGACTCATGAACATGCTGATACAGTTCTTGGTCTGGATGATATACGTGCTGTGCAGCCACATAGTCCTACAAACGATATTGATCCTACTGCCATTTACCTAACTCAATATGCGATGGATAGGTATAATACGAATTTTTTATTCTTGGGGTCATTGTGCATATTGTTTTTTTAGCCTACAGATTGCTAGTTATGCTGATACATTATCAAGACATAAGTTGTTCACATATTTTAATAAGACGACAGCAATTAGCCACTCAAATCTCAGAGAAATTGCTCTACGTTTAAAATAGACTGCATATAATCACAGAATATGATTCTAAATATGTAGTATAAAAGAATCAAATTGTGTGCTTGTAGTTTTTGTTTCCCTTAATATTAATCAAATCAGTCATCATTTTAATATGGACTAACTGTTCCTGTTACTTTTATTTTTAAATTTTATTTGTTTCTTTGGAATTTCTTCTTACTGTAAATGTTGTACAATTGTTGCATACACAAATACAAAGATGTTGACTGGAATCATGTTGAAATATGTTGCATTTATGGAAACTATGATAAGTTTCCAGTATGCATGAGAAGAATATGCAAGCCTTTCTGTTTAGTCCTCTGCGAATGCACGGATTGAATATTGTTTGTTTCCATTCAATTGCTTGCACTTGGTTTGAGGTTTTTCTGTTGCATGTGTGGGTCATTGGTCTAAATTTTATTTGGAGAAGCTGCTGATAAGGCTGAACTTAATCCACTCTTATCTCTTTCATCATCACTTTTTTTTTACGAGCTTTGGATGGTACAGGTTCATGGCAATGTTTGTTTGGCAAGCATTGTTGTAACACAGACCTTGGACTGGAAGCTACATGCTTTTGATGTTCTATCTGAGTATGACGGGACCAATGGAACTGCTACAAGACCAATGCTGGTAATGCTTGTTTTTGGATGTAAGCAAAGTGTTTCAGTTATTTTGAATCTCAATATGACATCTATATTATTATAATCTTCAATTCAAGTGGGTATCTTACTGGGATGATTTCTAAATATCTCCTTAAAGAAGAGCCAAGTTTTTTCTCAATAGATTATAGATGATTAGAGACACTACCCATAAAAGTAACTGATAGACCATATGAAGTGAAGTTGTTTCAGTCCTGCCTGCTTAGTTACATTAGTCAGTAGATTTTGGCTTTGGAATTATTTTTAGGTATTAAATTCAGGATAATTGCAGCCTATCTAACTTTTCACATCATCAAGTTTTCACAGGTGAAATGTTTCATTCAATTGTAATACAAAATTTTTATTATGTGCTTGTTATGTTATATATTTTCACTTTGCCATGGTATGCTATGAAATCCTTTCTAGCCGACCAGTCTCTTTCTCTCTCTCTCTTCCCAAGACTCTCTAGGTCAACTCTTCATTTTTTTTTCAAGACTGCCTCTGCATGGTTGAATTTAATTCCTGTTTGTTTCTATTAGCAATATGAATGGCTTGTTGGATCACAATACAAGCCAATGGAGCTGGCAAAGTCTGACTGGTACACGATCAGAAAATCTCCACCATGGGCTATTGATTCTTGGGGTTTGGGTAAGTTTGTATTGTTGTAATAAATCAGGTGGGTCAATGAGTAAGGGTTTAATTTGTGCTAATTCTTTGAGCATCCAGTTTGTATCACAGATATCTTAGGTGTATTTCATTATAACGTTCCATTTGGACTAGAAGATGTTTCATGGCTTGGGTTTTCTTATGAATTTTATGTTCGAGTTGATACTAGCTGTTATTCATGTCTGTTAGATACCAGTGTTGACTGAGTGCCTAGCTTTTGATGTTCATATGGCTATGCTGCTTTGGGGCATTAATTTGCTTGTGGTTATAAATTGATTTGTTTCAAAGTTTCAAAAATCTTTTCAATTGTCTGTCATGTACGCACTTCATTAAAATGACATTCTGAAAAAGTGTATTCAAGTATATGCATGTATTTGTTTATCTTAAGTGCACCAATGAAAAGAAAGATAATAATCATTACCTATCTATGATTTGGTCATTTCAGTTATTTATCTGATTTGTTTCTGTCGTTTTCTATATGATTCTCTATGCATCTGAACATTTTATTTAATTGGATAGGATGTTTCATTTATGAGATTTTCTCCGGCTTGAAGTTGGTAAAAACTTAGGAGCTGCGCAACATTGCTTCTATACCAAAGGTTTGTAGCTCTCGTTATGATGATTGCATTCTAGATCCTTGAAGTTATGACAAATGCTCTAGTAGCTGTTGGGATCCAAGTGGCCATCCTCCAATTTCTAGGTATATACTTGAATATACCTTTCTCTATGTGCTCATAATCTCTTAATTACTATTGACTTTTTTTTTTGTAACAATTTTTTCTAGCTATGCTAGCCATTAAATATTAGAGGTTTGTAAACATGCTAGCCATTCAAGTAAGTTGTTCTTCAACTAGCAATATTTTAAATGCAAGCATTAATTTAAGTGATACAGCTAGTGGTGCCTTTTGGTATATTGATTTTGTTGTGGCTATGATGTTGCAAGCATTATATATCTAGGCTTTGTTTGATACCTAATTCAAAAGTGAGAATTGGTACTTTTTTGTCACTTAGTTTTTAAAAATCAATTGATTTTTATTTATTTATTGAGTCTTTATGGAGTTTGTTTGTCAATTTCTTGACAAAGCTTATTGTTTAATACAAAGTAAGGTCTTATTTAAAAATTTTATATGCATAAAATGGATTAGTTTGTATTTTATGTTTGTTTTGATCTTATTGTGTGTATTGTGATTTGTTTTGATATTTGCTATTAATTATTTATATCAGCTTCAAGTGACAAATTCACCATCAACACAATCACCTTCAACTCAAGATTTGGATTGAAAGCTTGAAGATAAGATTTCGATGACTACTTATTTCATAGTTCTGGTACTCTTTGTTTTTTAAACAATATTATTTCTATATAATTTTAAAGTAGACTTTAGAGAATGTATTACATTTAAAAATCAATTCAAAGATTTGGTGGATTTGCAAGAACACTACATTAGATTATTCTACAAAAATGACTGTGATGATTTTGTTTTATATATAAGGTTTAATTACATTAATTGTATCACCAATACTGTGACGATTTACCTTTTGTCATTAACATATCAGATTTTTATCATTTATTTTGTGACGATTATAACCTTCAATGACTTTTTTACATAAATAGCTAACGAAAACTAACGTCATAAAAAATGCATAAAGTGATATTTGATTTTATTGTAACGTTTGACATTATCTTACAATCATTGGTGATAATTGTGTTATCAATACTTTGATGATTTACCTTTCTTCATTAATATATAAGATTTTATCATTTATTTTGTGACGATTATAGTCTTAAATAATTGACGAAAATTAACGTCACAAAAAATAAAGAGCATAAAGTGACGTTTGATTTTATTATGACGGTAAATTTACAATAAGTGACAATATTTTGGTATTGTCACATTAGACTTTCAGCTACAGTACAAATGTCGTGATGTTTAATTTTTTGTTATAGAATATATATAGTGACGAAAAATAAATATTTAGTGATATTATTCAATGCACCACTAATAACAAAATTTGTTGTAGTGGTTATAGAATTTGGGTCTAATCACACTCATAATTACTTTAATGAATAGATTGTATGATCATCGATTTATGTATTTTTTTTGCATAGTCAATTGAATAATAATCAAGTATATGAAAACTAGTTTTTATTATCAATAGGGAGTTGTTATTCATGAATTGATGACAATGTATGAGAAGTAAACATAAATTAAAATTTCATACTACGGTTATGAAAAACGTATTTAGTTAATCTTTTTGATAAAGATCAATAGCTTATAACTAAGGATGAATGATTATCATAATAAATTCATCAAATAAAGATTATAAAACTGAGAGCCACCATGACCTGATGATACCACAATCTTAAAGGGATTTCAAATTAAGATAGTAAAACAAGTCTTTATATAGGATGTGAGATAACTTGTTTTAGTATCATATAAGAAGTATTTAAAAGAAGTTTTGAATAAAAATTTTTATTAAAAATGAAAAGTTCACATGCATGAGAAACAATGGGAGATTAATAAAATTTTAAAAAGTTAAAGTACATGTTTGAAACCTAATGCATAAAAAGTATTAATGTATAAAAATTCAAAAGTTTAGTAGGATGCATTGTGGTGCAATAACCATAGATGATTAGTCTATTAAAAAAATACGACACGTTGGAATTTAATATCTAATTTTTTATTAAAAAGTTCAAATGAGTTGAATTTATTAAAATTAAAATCAGATATCATTTGTGCATATTAAAATCAAGTGGGAATAATATGTTATTCATGAAAGGAATGTATGAAATGCATAGACCATGGAATTAGGCTATCATAAGTGAATCTAAAATGGATCACCAAGAACATGTTAAAAGAGTTTAACATTAAAGTGACACAAAAACCATGATTGAAAGGCAATAGCTTGAAAGTGTTCAAAAGGGATTTAGATCAAATACAAATCGTTTTGTTTCAAGGCTATAAAAGGATACATATTTAAATTATTAGCCTTTGAGCAAGATCAGATTCCATCATTGTTAGAGTGACAGTAGAGCCATTACAAAGAGAATCTGAGTCTCATTATGATTTAAATGAGTATTATAATTTGATAATAAAGATTATCAAAAGTATAACCAAACATAATCCCAAAAGGTTGCATTAAAGCAATCTTGGTAGAGATACAATTGCCAAGCAAAAGAGTTTGATATTGAATATGTTAATAATTGGCTTAAAAGCAAGTGAAAGATTGTTAGTATATGTGTTCCGAAGCCAATTGGTTGGCTAAAAGGACATATATCATAGTTGCACCCATATTTCTATGTATTAGTGATTAAAGGATTTCTTTATCAATGAGCAAAAGAATAAAGAGTTGTTATATGCTTATTGGATGAAACCCTTAAAACACAATGGCTTTGAAAATGAGCTATAAAGAGTTATAATGATTAGATTTTTATGCATCAAAGTCCATTACATAAATTGTTCTTGGCTACTGTATTTTTGAAACACAACATTAATAATGCTCAAAGATTGCTACATATTAAGCCTCCTTACCTGTGAAGTAAGTAATCAATCGATCTCATAGTTTAAAGTACATGAATACTTGGAGATAGCATGTGAGTGTTTGTTGGAGAATAAGTTCATTAAACATGACCTGCTATGATAACTCTATTTAGTATCTCACTTAAGTGTTTGAAAACATTCTCTTGTGTCACTCATGTAAGTAATCCTTTAACTTGTAACACCTAGTCATATTGTATGTGAATTATCATACTTTAATTTCATCTCTATAAGTCAAGGTGCCTGATGCCTAAAAAGGATGCTTTTGGATATGGTATAAGGCATACATAGATGGATGAGTGGTTTAAAGAGAATTCATCACTTCAAGTGATATAAAGGTACATAACTGATTTGTTCTTGGCTTCAATTAACTTAATAAAAGTGTTTGGTCAAAGCATGATGATGAATTTAGAAGAAATAGTTTCTTGCTAAATTAATACATGTTAACTGTAAGTTGTAAGAAATAGCATGAAAAAATCTCATAGGTAGACATTGCACCATCCTCGTGGTCTTTTTAGGATATATGATGAAGGGACCAAATTACACTGATAGACTAAATACTGAAAGGTTAGGTTGAGACTATCTTAACTCTCCAATATTTGGATGGTTGTGATACATTGTGTGATGCTGTTTATGATCTATGAATATAAGTTGGTTATCCTTACTAATTGGATTTATATTTATTGCAAATAAATTGGAAGCCTATTGGGTCACACATATAGACACCTTATTTTGTTGAGAAATTTTTTGGGATCAAAACAGGTTTCGATCATAAATTGAGCCTTAATACAAAAATATTAGGTCGAAGGATTAAAAGCCTTAAATTTATGGTTTTGGTTTAATTTTGGTTTTAATGTTAATTTTAGTTTTAATTCTAATTTTAATTTTGATTTTGATTTTAAATTTATTTTTAGTAAGGTCAAAGTAAATAAAAAAAGTCAAAAAACTAAAAAAGAAAACGTGGGATTTTATTTTGCAAATGGTATGTTCTAGATTGTTTTAAATTCGATTTTTAGATTTTGAAATTTATTGATTTATTATGCATGGAAATACTTGGGTTTCAATTCACTGACAAAAAGGAAAATCATAGAAATCCTAGATTTAGTAGGATTTAAACCCTTCCAAATCGAAAAGGATTAGATCTCGATAAAAGAACACCTACCTAGTAATCAAGCAAGAGCAAGGAAGCAATACACAATCCAAAAGCAATTACATAGAAAAATAGTAGTTAAACAATTTTTCTACTTTGATCTTAAGTTTTGGAATTCGGTTTTTGAAAATTGTTTTGGGTTTTAATCCTCTTGGTTTTGGTTTTAAATTTTGGGTTTTGGGATTCAGCTCAAATATTTGATTTTAGAGAATTGGTTGGATTTTGATTTGGGAGTTTTGGTAAGATTTTTGTTTGGAAGTTCTAGTGGATTTCTAAATTTATCTGGGTTGGTTGTGAATTTCTACACTTGCTTTTTTGGTTTTTTGGAAATTTCTGAGTTTTTTGCCTGAAGAGTTGGATTAGGTTTTTATGGGTTTTTGTTCGATTTTTCTGGTGAAATTTGAATTTTTCGGCAAATTTCACAGTGGCCAGAGGAATCTTTTGGTCGAATTTTAAAAAATTCTAGGTTTTCTTTGAATTTTTTAGCATCGTTTGAATTTTTCAATGCTGAATTCTACAAATCTAGGCCAGACAGTGGGTTTTCTAATGGTTCTTTTAGAGAGAAAGGAAAGAAATAAAAGCTAGAGAGAAAAGCAACTAAGGTAATCTAAGAAAAAATAAAAGTTGTTAGCTTTTATACTAGGAAGCAAACAACACCGTTTAAGGGAGCTAGGATCTATGCTTCGAGTCACGTGGGATCTGCACGTACACCAATTGAAACTTGATTCAATCGCAGGTTTTTGCTTTTGTTTTTTGTTTTTTGTTTTGGTTCATTTTGTTTTTTAATTTTTTAATTGTTTATTGTTTTGATTGATGATTAAATTAAAAAGAGATGAGGAAAAGGAAAAAAAATGGTAAGATTTTATAATTTATTTGTATGATGAATTTAGTTTTTTTTTGCATGGTATATATTTTTGCATGAATTTAATTTAACTAGATTTGTTTTTGCATGATTACCTAATATTTTATTTGTGTGATTTATTAATTATATGATTTGTTATTATTTGCATGATTTCTTATTTGCATGATTTTGCTTGATATTTTTTGCATGTTTTATTATGATATTTTTGTATATTTTTGCATGATTTTTTTGCATGATATTTCTATTATGATCTTTTCATGATTTTGGTATGTTTTTGCATGATTTATATTGCATGTTTTAATTTTAATATTATTGCATGATTTTTTTGATAGAATTTTTTGTATGACAATGTTGTGCAAATAAATAAAAGGGTTGGAATTGATATGATTTGCATGATAAAAAATCATCTTTGATAAGGTTTAAGTAAGATAACATATAATTGATTTGATATCAATTTTGGGCATAGTGGGGTGTTAAAACTTTCTCTGCACGTAACCAATTCTCGAATTTAGTTCTATTAATGTAAACCATAACTATTCATTTTAGGGACCATAGTTCAAGCTTAGGATAACCTTAAAAAGGATAGATTTACATAAATGGCCAATTACACCTAAATAAAAAAGATTGGTGGTGACTTTATGATTTTTTTATGTCTAAAGGATAGGTTCTCGGATTTAAGTGTTATGATAGTTTTACAACTCCATTAGGGACTTTAAAGAGTCAAGCCATTAGTTTGTTGTTTGTTATCTTAAGCCTTGCCTTGATGGTTTTATTATGTAATTATTTGTGATTACTAACCTATTTGTTTATGATTTCTTATTTGTTTATTTTGCATATTATAATTTTTTATATGCACCAACTTATTTGATTATTTGGCATGTTCTTTTACACACACCATATTTGTATTCGCATAAACTTTATGCCTGGGCTTTGTCTTTATTAGTAGGAGCAAGTACCTACACTTTCGTAAAGTGATAATCTTCGTGTGAGTTAGTGAAAACTTTCACTTAAATTGAACCATTTTCATTTGAGCTTAAAATAGTGAATGAGGATGTGGTGCCTTACTATGGACGATGATATAAGGAACAATTTAAAAGCTTTTAGATTGTCAAGCCTTTGAACCCAGCATGTAAACAAATCTTAAGAATACAAACCTAAGTTAGAGCCCTGCCCTCCTCAGTGTTAGAAAATCTTAAATAGGACACATGATGGGACATTTATTACTATTTTACTTGTAAATTTAAACATTGTTCCTTGTATATATTATGTGTATACTAACCTTTTTTCTTTTATTGTGTATGCATGTATCATTAAACTTATCATAAGGTGTGATTGCCACAAAATAATTTTAACAAAAAGAATCTTACTTGCATCCATAAAAAACTTGGCAAAGTCTCCTACTGGCTTGCAAATGCAGTTTGAGAGTTGAAACTTGCAAACAAAGGCTCAAAAAGGATGTCCAAGCACTCAAACAAGAAAAAGGATGAAATGAAAGAATCTATTCACTAACATTAACACCACACAGTCATCCACCACTCATGAGTTGGTCCAACTTCTAAATGACAATGGATAGTTGCAAGCAAAAGTAAAACAAAGTGAAGAGGCACAAAAACACATCTGAATGTTGAATGGGGTTGTTGTAGAAATTGAGACACAGTAGGCGCTATGAATAAGGAATGTGAGCATGTAAATGAGGTATTTGTGAGGAAGTATGACTAGTTGAAATGGTTACTTGATCAAATCACTGTGGCTACTTACAAAGCCATGGACATGGTAGAAAATGTTGAAGAATGGAAGATAAAGGTGCTACTAGTCGGAGCACATGGTAAAAAATGGCTAGATTTCCTTAATGAAGTGTAAAGCTAATATCAATAAATTAGGGATTTCTTTCCACTATAAACTTTAGACCTTTCATGGATGTAATATTGGATTTGATTAGAAATAACTTTTAATTCAATAATGATTTTTCTTATTAAAAATTGTTATGTGGTAAATCCTTTTTATTGCATTCATGCATACCTAAAATTTGGATAGTTTCTTAAATATCTTTCTAAATATGTACCTTAATTATGGTAAACTATGATTCAAGGATAGCTTAATCTTCAAACAATCTGAGGTGCTAAATAGTAGATACCAAGCAAGGATTATGGAAGAAAAAAACACTTTTCATCTTCAAAAGCTACAAAAGGCATAAAAAGAAATGAAAGAGCAGTTGAAAACTATTACTGAGTTGTTGAAGAACATGTACAAGGGAAAATAGTGGTGGAAGAGATGGTGATCTAACACAAAACTGATCTATTATACCCTTATGGTTTTGGCCCATACTCAGCTCAAGGATCTAAAAAAGCCGAACACCAAATGTAATTCATAACAAGTTATCCTTATATGCATGTTGACATACCTTTAAATGTTACTCCTTCTTCTATTCTTAATGTTAAAACATCTTAACCAACTTAAGTTCCTAATATAGTTGATCCAAAGAAGCATAAAAAGATGAAGATAAGCCTTATAGAGATAAAAAAAAAAGACTTTGGATCCTAAAATATAAATCTCATTGAGAAAAGGCTTAGAGTCATTGAAACGACAAATTTCGATGGGTTAATGGATGTTGTTGGATTATGCCTAGTTCTTAATGTTGTGATTTCACTAAAGTTTAAGGTGCCTAAATTTAAGAAGTATGATGGGACCAATGCCCTATAACACATGTGACAATGTATTGTCATAAAATGGCTACATGCATATGATGAAAAGCTGCTCATTTGCATCTTCCGAGACAATCTCACTGGCTCTGTTGTAAGATAGTATGTGCAATTGGATAAGTCTTGTGTCTGTAGCTGGAGAGAATTATAAGGGCCTTTATTACATAATATAAGCACATTATAGATATAATACCAAATTGTATGTCTTTTCAAAGTATGGAAAAGAAGGCTAATGATAGCTTCAAAGAATTTGCTTAAAGATGGAAGAACATGGCTGTTCAAGTTCAACTCCTTTTGATTGAAAAAGAAACTATGATTTGTTTGTCAACATTTTCAAGGCTCTTTACTATGACAGAATGATTGGTAATGCCATTAAGAACTTTGTTGATATGGTAATTTCTAGGGAAATCATTGAGAATAATATTAAGAATAAAAAGCTAGAATGTCATGATGCAATTAATGCAAAAAAAGAGGTTGTACTGAAAAAGAAAGAAATAGATACTCAAGTAGTAATTCATGAGAGGCAACGGGTTGGAAGCTTCAACCCATATTATCTTTATCCGATATACCAACCTTATTATCCAACCATAAATGACAACTCTTCAAGTCTTCATGCTTATCAACTAGTCATGTAGCCACCTGACTTCGTACTTACAAATTAATCAGTTGCGTAATCTAAAAGTTGGTGAAAAGAGAAAGAGCTCCCATAGATCCAATCCTTATAACATACACTAAATTGCTCTCTCAACTTATGCCATTTGATTGCATCAAGTTATTTAGAACCTATGCAGCCTATCTACCCTAAGTGGTATGATGCTAATGCTACTTGTGACTATCATCTTGGGATTATTGGCCATTCTATAAAAAATTGTATAGCATTGAAATACAGGGTGCAAAGTTTGGTCAATGTTGGTTTGGTAAATTTTAATCAAGAAGCAGGGTCAAGTGTCATTAATAACCATTTGCCTAACCACACAGGGGCATAATTTTGAGGAAGTCTTTATGAATGCTTGTCACCTTAGGAACTTTAGGAAATAATGCTAGTTTTTAAATACTTATGAATATTTGAAAGTCTTTTATGTTACTTTTTTATTTATCTTTCATCATTTCATTAAAATGATACATGCATTTTTATTACATTTCTCACACCATTATATATCCATTCATATTTCACTCACCTCCATGTTTTAGATAATGAAAGTTCAAATAATCATGACAATGATATGGGATTTAATTTTGGAAGCATCATTCATATTGATGAAATTAATAAGTTGAGACTCTTAATTTGTTGGGATTACTAAAGTAAAGGAAGATGGATTCTATGAAATGAGTCAAATCTAGCAAAAAGTTTCACTCATGAAAGTAATGCAATATGTGGTTTTTATGATGTTTCATTCACAAGTTTGCTCTTAGTTAATAAATGTTCTTCATTGAAAATATTCATATTTGAAATGAAAAATGCCAATCTTTCTTCTGCCTTTCACATAAAGAGTAAAATTATCCATTTTTCTTTTGAGTCTATTGAATTCTTTTTAGAAACCTACCAAGGATCACCCTCTACACTGAGGGACAAAAGTTTGAAAAAGCTTGTTCATAAAAAAAA